TATTTATAAATTTTAACTACAGCTAGCTTTATCGGCTTTATCTTATTACGTCGATCGACGAGTGCGCCCGTGCTGAATTTAATGTGGTTAACTTGCTCAATATAATATTCTATTATAAAATAACCGCAAGACCGCGGCCAACGCACCAATTTCTACGGTTGATGTGTGGAGAGGAGCTTTTCGGTGTACAAAAATATGTTGGCAGATAACAGGCGGTCGTTCAAATTTGAGAATTTATCAAAATCGTTGATTGTGAATATTGTAATGTGTAAAAATGTATATTAATTAATAAAATAATGTTTTTAATTACCAGTCAAAGAAATTGAATTAAAAATCGTGAGTAGTATCTCATAAATTCATAACTAATATTTTTTTTTCCTCATATTTATAAGTTAAAAAAAAAATAAGAGYATATTTAAGCGCATATATCAGGATTTTTAAGCGCATAAGTGCATACATATTTCGTTAGTTTTTAGTGTATAAACTTCAGGGCCCTAATAATAATATATAAATTTTAACATATTATAGTTTGCTTGGCTAAACAAGATTTTAGATTCTAAGCTATAAGCGATGAATTTGATTTTACAATGATGGGTATCCGAATAAACTATTAGTATAGTTGAAAATATGCTCTAAATTTACATTTAGAGTGATTTCTTATGGAAAATTGGAAGATAGATTAAACGCGTTGAAGAAGATGCATACTGCTTCACATTTTAAAATTTATTTGAATACCAGTGTTTAATTTTAAAATCGTAATCGCTAGGTACCTATCAAGTGTCAACTGTTCGAATACCGTTTACGAAAGGTTAGACCTTTTTTTGGCACACTGTGTTTTTCTTTTTTTTTTTCGATACATGGGTTACATAATTTTAAATAAATATTTATAGCCTCAGATCTCAGTATTAACATTTTTGTATAGTTGCTGTTGAAAATATAACACGTGATACAATATCTACCTCTGTGAGCGTGACCTATTGAAATATTTGGAGCTTGTAATGAATAATTTGATACAAATCAGTAAAGCGAACATAATATTATATATACCTAGTAACGCATTTCATCGGAAATCATTTTTCTTTTCCACCTGCAATATTAAACTGTTAAAGTTGCCGATAATGATAATTATTAGGTAATCATTGACAGACTTTGATTCTTTGACTCCATTTAATAATGCATCATATTTTTCAATCGTTATGTATATACGAAGTGTTTTTATCATTTTCGCTTCGACAAMACCATTAAAAAGTTTTTAAAAGGTTGTTTAATGTTTAAAAAAAAATATCTTAATTATTATATTATTATTTATTTTTGATTTATAATTTTATTGTTTTATACGTATGGTTTAGTAATAATTACATATTTATTTATTATCACATCATGTCATTTTGTCAATTAAAAATAATATCACAAATAAAAAATTGTAATCTATCAAAATGTAAGATATGTTTTGTTATATTCAGATGTCACGTTATCCAAAATGTTAATTAAAAAATTAACCCCCCCCCCAACCAAAGTTTAGGTCTAACTGTCTAAGTACGTCAGTTCTAGAGATAATAGTACCAATATAAACAAGATATACCTACCTATATGTCAGAATCAAATATCAATTGAAGCATATTGGAATTTGAGGCGTACCTATCTATAATACTGTTGTACTATATTTATTTTCTAATTATACTGATACAATTATAAATAATCTAAAGTTTAGGTTTTCAAATGAAAATCTTCAGACGGCTGAAGCTATTGAGAATTTTTTGAAATTTTAATAATAAAAACAGTCAACATTTTATTGATCATAAAAATAAGGTAGGTACATATTAAATAAGTAATTTATAGTAACTTTAATAACCAAGAACCTTTTTATTATTTGAGATCAGGAAAATGTTGTGATTTTCTATGGTTTCGGGATATAATAAATTATAACACGGAGTGCTTTAATATTATAATGCAACAATATCATAATATTTAATCCGTGACGATCGTATAGYGGTGGTGCGGCACGGTTGCATGGCGGAGGGTTGCGCAGCGACCTTGTCTGTACCCTACGGGTCCGGCCGACCGGACTCACCGACAAACGGACGAACCGACGGATGGACCGCCGACAGCGATTGGTCGGCGTGGTGGGCGTGTCGAGGGGGCGCTGAATAACCAAGCCTTTCCGACGACAGTGGCGACGGTACGCGGGCGCCGCACGAGGCGACGGAACTCTCCTCGACGTCGACCGTCACCGAAGACCGCAGTCCCCGCGCTCACGCTCACATATACGCATCTGTGCACCGCGTATATCATACTATATCGAGTCGTCGTTGTGATTTTTTTAAGTATTAATATTATTACATATTTTTGTGTTGTACAAAATCGTTTTTAACAATCGCCGTATTGTTTATTTGTCCTGTTTTTCCAATTCATCGAAGTGAGTGATTTTTTACGGATTTACTGTATCTACAGTGATTGCGCTGATTTCACATCGTCGTCGCTGCCGCTACCTTTGTCAAACATAATATACAGCATGAATATACCAGTATAAAATATATAATTTTTTAAGTTACGAAGGTACAACGTTCCAGCGGTTTTTTGGTTTTGATATTTAAATCGCGAGTTTATCTTCGTATTACTGTAATATATTATAGGTACGCAGTGGTTGTTGTGCGTGCTTGTTGGAACTGTTTTTGATCTATACGCGATATTATAAATAAATGTGTCGGGCGCGCGTCGAGTGCGGACTATGAGCTGCACAGAGGTTATGTATCAGGCGTATTATCCGTATCTGTACCAGAGGTCTTCGAGCACGACCGCTCCGCCTACTAGGGCGCCGCATCATCACTTCGCGCCGTTCACTCACCAATATGATCGGGTAAGTCATAACTCATAATATTGTCACTCACCTAACTATAATATACACCAGGAAATCTGGTAACATACAATTAGATTATATCTGCAGGCGCCTTCAATATAATACTTAGGGATCATCATTTTCATGGAAATGATAAACTAGGACGTCTAGGACTAAGACAATTTTGTGTTAGGGACCAAACCTCCAAATACTACCAATACTTATAGGCGTAGAATTGAGGTGTCTAGTGTGTCTATAAGACTATAGATCTCTTGGAATTTTGTTTAGCCTTTCATTCCTTACATTTTTGAAATATATATGTTGCTGAGTATCAAAAACATAATAGGCTTTACCATACTTACTCTGATAAATTCATCACACTACACCTATGCCAATGCTCGTTAGTTATTACTTATTAGCATAGTACTCATTACCTACTCACATCCTACACTATATTTTTCTATATTTTACTTACTAATCAATAAATTGTTCATTAGCATATGTGTATTTATTTTTTAAATGCATATATTAATTATTATGGTTACTAACAGAATTAAAGATTTAATATTATCCTACATTTCTGCTGCCTTTACCATTGAACAATACAATCAATGTGTAAAAAAAGTCAGGTATTTTTAGAATATCTATTTGGTGAAGTAAGTTCCTATAGTTCTATCGTATCCGTGACTCATGCACATATGTGGACATCCCATTTCTATTCGTTATACACATAGGTTGTTGATAAAATCATTGTAGCTATAATTTTCCTAATTTTCCTAATTTAAGTCTTTTTCTTTTTTTCGTGATATCGACGACGCTGTCGGAACTGCTTGCGCATTACGCCGACAGCGTCGCCACCGTTTATTTCCTAATTTAAGCCTGTTTCATCTTGGMATTTTTGATGTAGGTAGATAATACAAATTAGGATTTTTATTTTATGTTAAAGTGTAATTTTGTAAATGTATACAGGAGAAAATACAACAAAAATAATAGGTACATGTAAATTGGTTAAGTTTTTAAGGTATTGTGTATATGAGTCAAATATYCGCGGAACGTCGCTTGATTTAATATTTATGTATAGTTAACTTAATAAAGTTTAAGTACCAACTACCAAGACTTTACTATCATGTATTTCTAAAATACCGCCATAGTATAACTAAAGATCATACCTTTAGATTTTAAAAGTATACCTCACCCACCATGATAGAATTATGTTCATCTGACACCAATCAATACTTTTTTTTGTGTTTGAGTAAGTATAGATATAGGAAACTAGGAACTGCAATAGTAAAATGTTAATGTTAATGTAATATTATATTGTATATGCATATAGGTATCGCTGACTAATGAATATTTATATAGGTACCTACTACCACCCTAAATATAGTTAGTAATATAGTTAGGTTGTTTAAGCCCAAGGACGGGTCTTACCATATACCAAAGGGGCGGGGTGGGTGATGTTTTTCAGTCGTTTATCAATAAATTATTATTCATAGGTAGGTCAATTATATTTAAGATCCAACCTTTTATTTTCATTTACAAATAATAACTATAATCTACTTTTCAAATCAAAGTTTAATCAAATAAATTATTCAATAGTTTATCTCGTTCTTTATTACACATAATCATATAAACATATAGGTATATTAAAGTAATACAAGGAAAAATAGCTCTAAATCCATATTTTATTTTATTACATTTGATGACGACAATCCGGTATTGGAATTTTAATTTAACTTTTATATTTTATAAGAATCGTGGTGAAATTCWATCATACCTAAAATTATAGTGATGTCCTGAACGTTGATTAGAGCAAATCGAATCTAAATAGAACCTGCATTTTGAACCAGCATTGAATTGAATCATTCATAAATATGGATACCTATTTATATTCATAGGTAATCAAATCGAAAAATCAAAAATGTTTTTAAGAAGAATAATGTATTGTCACTATCTTATAAAACTATACACACCATATAGGTGGAAAATTTACGTTAAGTAATTCCAAGTGCATGTTTTAATTCGATGTGTTATATTGAATTGATCTATTACCTATTATATACATATAGGTAAGAATTGTATCTGCAGTTGTCTTATGTCAGATTTTGTTTCTATATTTAAGTTTCAAARGAAAATATGAGCATTTTCAAATCGTTATATTTCACATACTCATATCTTGCTTAAAAATCACAATATAGAAAAAAAATACTAAAATTATTAAATAGATAATACCTATTTTAAATTTTTACTTTTAGTTTCGATAATAAGTCAAATTGATCTTTTAATATAAATAACTACATTAAATGTTTGTAAAACTAAGACAACACAGCATGTGGCATCCTCTTACGTATTCTAWCTTATTCTATAAACGTAATTTATTTTTATTGTTTTCATTTGTTTCACATAACTGCATCTTATTATGCAAAGTTAATATTTAGTCATCAAAATGAAAAATAAATCAGGTATAAATAAATATTGCTATTAAATAAAATAAATTATAGTTATATATATTAGGCATTGGTTCGGTTCGATTATTTTCTCAACTTTCAGTTTGTTCGAACCTAATTTAATAACGAATTAGCTGTTCGGTTCATTTTAAAAATCGTACTGTTCGGTCTATACCTAACTAAAACGAATAAAAATATGTAATTGAATGGTTCCTACTAATGTAGTAATAATATCTAAGTAATAGCTGCTGGTAGTTAATAACTAATAACCAAGAATTTGATGAATAATAACTAATAAATGGCAATACTATTTCAGATATAGGTAGTATGTATATTTGTATTTTGTATTGTGTTTATATTGTAATTAGCACAAGCCCTGCATATTTAAATTTAAATTTTATTATCTCTATGTGGTTACCTTAATTTTTTTTTTTTAATTTTCACCGAATACTAAAATTGTTTTTATTGATTAATGTAGGTAAGTATAAAAAAAAATTACAATTTACAAGTTTTATCAATTCTAAGGCCACAACAAATATAAAAATTGTTATTTATCAATATTTCACAAAAGTTTATTGAACTTTATAATTTATATAAATTCCGAATTCGTATTTTGAGGTACTTACTCACCAGTGACGTACTCAGAAAAAAATTTTGGGGGGTTCTTTGAAAATTAGTTGTTGATAAGTAGATCTTTTTTTTTAATAAACATACGATTTTTTTCCATGAAAATTATCTATGATATTATTTWAAATACAAACATTGATAGTGCATAAACAATTCAATAAAAAAAATCTAATATTCGTGTATTTTTAGACACTATTTTAAGAATATCCTTACAATTAACTTCTATATTAAATAAATTATTTTAATTTCTTAGTATTACATTTCAATTCTGCTCTAGCTRGTTTTTCACAAACACGATGTAATATTATACCTGTTTATCAAAATATAATAAGACAATCAAAATTGAAATAGAATAAGTAAATAACCATACAAAAACCAAATATTTCGGGGGTTGTTTTACCACCCAAAACATCCCCCTGTGTACGTGCCTGTTACTCACTCMATAAATATAAATAATCCAAATTTATTTTTGAAACATAATTCTGTTTTTAAAATCGTAAATTCTCACGAAAAATATATAGTTTAGATAATAGGCATTATAGTAGAATATATTTTATATTAGACGGTTAGACAATTTTAAAACAAAATGTAAATACCTTCGTCTAAGCTATTGTAATTTATATTACTATATATAGTACCTAATATTGCATTTAAAGAATTATACATAYTTTTAGCTATACAACTTTTATGGAGATATAATATAAGTTATGTATGCTATTTGCTATTTAATATCCATTTCTTCAAATGAAAGACTACATTACATGCTGAAATTTTAATCAAATAAGAAATAACTATTAATGGGTAAAATAAAATAATTTATTACCATAAGTATTTTCTATGATATTGTAATTATGTAGATAAAAATGTTTGTTTCAATTGTTTAAATTTGTATTGCACTATCCGGGGGGTCTGTATATAATGTGTAAAATACTAAACATTGAGTCAAATTCGCAAGTAGGTAAATGTTAGTAGGTATCAGTTGTGAAAAAAGGTGGATAAGTTTATATTGCAGTATAAATACATAAAACAATACAATATTTTTTATTGTACTCTGATATTTACTATTTTAATTTTTAGAAATAAATAAAATAAAATAAATAAAAAATATTGTTTCCTTAATCAATCAAATAATGTTTAAACAATCATCATAGGTATTTCAGTATTTGTTAGGAATAATATGTTAATTGATATAATTTAATTTGGATCACAGTCTATATAATACGATATTTCAATTTTTAGGATATTTAGTATTATTTGTAAAATTGAGTCTTAAGTTTTAACCTCATAACTGTATACACTATACAGTGTGTATTATTTATTACCGTGTTACGGTAAAAATTTAACCACTTCCATTAAATAATAAATATCATAATACAGTTTTAGTGAATGAACTATATTGATTATAAGTTCTTTAATAATTTGCATTATACCATTTAATAATATACATTTTTATTTAATCTATATTATGCTCATCCTGATAGTTTTACCTGTACCGAACTCCAGCTTTACAAGTTGATTATTTTCCATTTATTATTAGGAGTAATTAATTTACATCGTATTTGGATAGCTTTTTATATATGCATGCACAGTTGTATATCTAGTAAAAATACATTTTTCATTTTGTTATTTTTTTAAAGCATTCATTGTATTCAACTGATAAATACATATAAATAATTTTCATTAACCATTGCAAATAATAAAATAAAAAATATTTTGATATTACTTCCATCAATCGACTTTTGAAAATTGACTACTCGCCTTGTTATATTGACCAGGGTTGGTAAATTGAGTCCCAAATGACCCTAACTCGGTAAATTGAGTCCCGGAGAAAAATAGATAGTAGGTAAGTTGAGTCCCGGAAAAAATAAGGTAGTATAGGTAATTTAAGTTGCAGGGAAAAACGATTTATATGCATTTAAAATTTAAAATATGCACTGTAAAATTTTT